CTTTTTTTTTTTTTTTGGCCTTCTATGCCGTAAGTTTCCAGGGCTGCCACAACAAAACAGCACAAACCAGGTGGCTGGAAACAACAGAAATGTACTGTCTCAGGGTTCTGGAGGCAGAAAGTCCAAAATCGAGGTGTGAGCAGGGCCACGCACCTTAAAACCTGCCACCTCTTCGGAAAATCCTACTCTGCACACTTGTCCCCCTCCTAGGCTTTGTCCTCTGTAGTCACAAAGATGACCTCTCCAAGGAAAGGACCTTCTCTCTTCCTCCTTCTGTCTCCTTGGGCTCCCACATAACATCAGGACCGCTTGTAGTCAGCAGACTGACTCACGCCGCACACTGGCCTAGGCAGGTGCCGCCAGAGGTGAATTTCCAGCACACTGCCTGTTTTCATCTTTTGTCTTCCTCATCTCCGTTATCATAGTGAAACACACCACAAAATTTACCATGTAGTGCTTTTCAAGTGTTCAGTTGTGTGGCAGGGAGGACATTTACACTGACGTGCAACTGTCACCATGACCCACATTTAGAACTTTTTCACCTCCTCCAATTGGAAGTCTTTGCTGCCAAATCCGAATCACCCAGTGCCTCCTCCCCTCCGGCCCCTGGCAGGGCCGCTTCCTAAGGAGACTTTGCACTTACTGTCCATGTTCTAGGTACTGAACCGATGGGCTTCCGCTTCTCCAGTCATCTGCCTTTCTCATCCACCAGTAGCCATGGTTGAGTGGGGACAGCTTCTTGTTAGCAACTCTGACATCATATTGGGTAGAAGACTGTAATCAGCCTAAATATTAAAACTCCACGTTTGCGATCAAATGTGAATCCCAGGGTCCTGTGAATGCACAGACCTGGTGGTGGGCTGACACGGGCTCTCTCTGCCCCCAGGTGCTCCTCATCCTGACCGCTGTGCAGCCTGCCATCTTCTCCATCCTGGCCAACGGCGGCCAGATTGCCTGCTCGCCTCCCTATTCCTCTAAGATCAGGTCTCAAGGTGAGCACTGGGCTGTGGATGAGAGGAGGGTGGCTCAGAGGGCAGGCAGGCCTTGGAACAGGTCGACCTGCCCTCCGCTCTCAGTGTTCAGTAAGGGGCCTAGGAAGTCCAAGCAGTGCTTTCAGGAACTGAGCTCTCAGATCCCGCAGCCTGGAGCCAAGCCCTTGGCGCAGGCCTCTCCTGTGGGAGGGAGATGCTGGGAAGCCGAACGCATGGGAAATGGGGCGATGTGCTGGCCTCAGATCACAGAGGGTGGGGAGCCACATTCTGCTTCTGCTCCACCACAAATCTGCCTTACGAGATTTGGGGTCAGCGAAGGAACCGCTGCGGGCCGCACTGGCTTCCTGGCCAGGCCGCGACCTGGCCGTGACCTGTCCCACCCTCCTCACGCCCAGTGATGAACTGCCACCTCCTCATCCTGGAGACATTCCTGCTGACTGTGCTGACGCGGAGGTACTACCGAAAGAAGGACTCCAAGGCTGGGTACGAAACCTGCTCCTCTGCAGACCTGGACATGAGCGCAAAGGCCTGAGCGACAGCTTGGGCAGCGGCGAGACGCTGGGCTCACGGGACAGCACAAGGTTCCCTGGCCCCTCAACCTTGACCCAACAGGCCAGAGTTCCCGGAGCCGGCACTGGCTGGCAGATCCTACTGACCGGCGAGAGGAAGGGGAACTGCAGTATGATGTTGTTTTGGGTCTGGCCCGGGAAGGTATTTTTAAAATTTTGTAATAAACAGAGTCTGAGAGTCTAACTGGCACGCTGCTTCTGTGGGGTCACCAACAGCCCTGCCAGCTGTGTTTAAAGGGAGAGGGGCGCAGAGACAGCGGTGTGTGTGGTAAAGAGCTGGAGACTGGCTGGGCAAAACCACTCTCAATCCCCCGAAGGCTTTGGAAGGGACACACAGAGGGGTTCTTTCCTTAAAAATGAGTCCCTGGGGTATGGATGACAACAGGCTGGGAGGGCCGGAGCTTTCTTTCAGGACTCACTAGCTTTGTGAATCTTCTGTGCCCAGCTGCAAAATGAAGTGTGAGTAATGCGGTCACAGCGCCGGTTCCGAGAAGTCAGGACGCAAACACAAAGGAACTGAAAGTCCAGTAAAGCTCCCAGTGCACAAAACATACAGACATGTGCAAAACACGGGAACTAGAACTCTAGGTAAAACCACACTGCCTTTATTTGGCCAAAATAACGCTGAACAAATGAATCACAGATGGGAAAAATGCTTTATTGAACCCACCTGAGGCACACTTCCTGCGGCCTTGTCCTGGTGGCGGGCAGGCATGGGGCCAAGGCTGAGGTTCTTTCCAATGCTGTTTTCTTTGCAGGCAGGGTCCTCCACACAAAACACCCAACCAAGCCGTCTGGTGTTTAAAACAGTCCGGGCCTCCCCCAAACCAGGGTGTAAGGCCTGCTTCAACCTAAGGGGACCTGCTCCAAGTTGTCTGAATGTTTAATCCCCAGTCTGAGCACTAATTTAATACTTTGGCAGACAGAAAATCTTTTTAAGACAGTTAACGTTTAATGGTGTAACTCCCAAGAACATGTTCTACTTATTTGGAAAAATAGAGGCTAGGGACAACTCGTTAGCCCTTAACAATCTATGAGAAAACAAGAACAGCCAAAAATATAAGCTCTAAAAATAATTATTGGTGAGCCTTAAAAATGCCACTAGTTTGTAAAACATTGTTAAGGGAACTTTTTTATTTTTAAAATCATCTTTCCCTGTTACTGGTTCAACTTCTGGTGAATATCTGATGACAGAGACAGAAGCTATGGCTTTTAGGGAATGAAAGGAAAGCAGCAAAATGTAACTGATGTGGAATAGGACGGAGAAGGCAACAAGCTCCAGGGAGGAAGCCGCCCGCAAGTGACGACAGCCAGCAGCAGAGCGGCGGGGCACTGGGGACGGCCTTGTGCTGCCCGACCAGCTGCCCGGCCACCATCACTCAGGTGCTGCTGAATGATCAGCGAGCAGAAAGAATCAAACGATGCTCTACCTTCTTCACGTTTTTTCTCCTGCAGGATTTTTGAGTCAGGGTCTCAGTGTGATCCAAGACTGAGCTCTCACAGTAATCCCCCGGCCTCAGTCTCCCCTGGGCTGGGATTACAGGTGAGGGCCACCACGCCCACTGCCTTTAGGGTTTTCAGCCTCCTCACACCCCAACCTTCTCCCCATGCTTCTGCAGAGTAAGGGTCTCTGGCTTTAGCAATCAGAAGCCAGGCAGCAGAGCGAGCAGTCCATTTTCTAAAGTTTCAGTCTCTGTTCTTCAGTGCTCCTCTGCATGGGGTATGAAAAGGTCCCCGCTGAGACGATTCCCTCCTCAGTGCGAGGACTCCATCTTTTTCTTTTTCTTTTCCGTCTCCCCCTGTCCTGCAGCCTGAGGTTCAGAGGCCAAGCAGCTTCCAAGGCTCACCCATCTCAGTCATGTCCTGCCCATCCAGGTGGGCAGCTTCCTTGTATGCGATTCAGGAAGCACTGTCGGCCTCAAACATGCACATGTGAATAGTCACAGGCCACAGGCTTGGCCACCTGGGACAGCCCTCTAGCCTCACTTATGGGCAGCGATGACCTTCAGGGTGGGCATCTTTCCCACAGGACCTTCGTCCAGCACCTAGGATCAGGAACTTCCCCGAAGGATCTGACCCAACGCACCGTGAGCTTCTGCTTTCAGCCCAGGCTAATCTGAGAATATACGGCATTGGGAGGCCAAGGAAGGGAGCTCCTAACCGCCAACCCCAGCCCTGTCCTATGCACGTGGCCTAGAGGCCCCATGCCAAGTGCAGAGCCTGCCCAAAAGCAACTGAGAGGGGAGGAGGATCGACAAGTGGCGCCAAGTGACACTGGAGTTGAGGAAACCTGTTCGGTTCCGGGCTGCTCCCGTTCTGGTGCACTCAGGCGGCATGGGCATACCCAGAACAAGCAGGCAGGTTTCAGCAGCGTCTTCATGGCCTCTCCATCCCAGGAAGTATAAGGCAGAGAGAAACAGGCACCATTCCCAAGAGAGAACACCCAATCAGAAAAGTTAGAACAAGAGCTGGTATAAAGCTGTGTATGTGGGAAGTCGTGAACTTCTGCTGTGTCAGAGACTGGGTCCAGGCCGAGGCTCATGCAACCAGACTGGATAGCATGAAGGGCAATCCAGCAGCAGAGCTAGAAATGTAGTTCCCTGCCTCTCAAGCTCAAGGTCCCAAGTTCGATCCCCAGTACCAAAAAAAAAAGAGAGAGAGAGAAAAGAAATGTAGTCTATGGGCCAAAAGGTCCATCCTCTGTCCCTCTGCCCTGCCAGTTGCCACCTGCCTGGGCCATCTGAGTTAATGGGCCTAGGTCGTCATGCTGTGAAGGCAGAAGAGCAGCCTTAGCAGGCAGTGTCAAGGAGAGGCCTACACTCGCTGTCATGGTGCAGGGGCTACAAAAGGGAAGATGTGGTCTTCTTTGCCGAAAACATGGAAACTTACCCCCACAAGGGGTATTCATGAGCGACAGTGGGTGCAGACAGGACGCGGATGCTTTCCGCCACTCCAGCTACAGGATTTCGGATGGGTGATAATCTGCCAGGTCACACGGCTGAGGTGATAGAATGCTAGCGGATCTGAAATCAGATCCCTGGGCAAATGCCAAGCATCAGCATTCTTTGATTTGAAATTCAAATGTACAATTCAGAGAGGGAAGCCTGAGCGGGGAAAAGCCTGCCAGGCACAGGTGGGAGGGGGAACAACCTGCCAGGTGCTTTTTGTGGGCACCCACACCGGAAGTCCCTGCCGCGTAGCCCTCAGAGGGCAAGAAATACTCCACCTTGGTTCTTGTCATGAATGTTGTTAAGAGGGCAGAAGGCAGGATAAGGCTCTGGTTTGAGAAAAGCAGGTTTTTTATCATGCTTTGGATTCCGTATCCCACGCCAATCTGTACTTAGTGCTGTCTATGAGCACAAGGATGAAGGGACCATGCTCCCACCGTGGACACTGTGTCAGAGAGGCTAACAGCATCGACACAGGCGGCAGGCAGGCCAGAGCCGGACTCCCAGCAGGAGATGGATCTAAACCGACTGCGCAGCATTAATTCTGTCCCACTCCCCTCTCAGTCACCATAACCCTCAGAGTGTCCCTCCTTTAAGGTCAGGTTGCACGAGAGAGACTGACATGAGCTCCCACATAACTGGGCAACAGAATGTTCTGAGAAGACGAACACAGAGGAGAAACTGCAGCTGATGCTGTGTGGTCTGGTTCCGACCCCATCAGTATCTTCATGGACCCCATTGGGTCAACAAGAAACTCCTCAGGGAGTAAGAAAAGTTAGGCTCAGATCATCTTCCCACAGCCATGCTGACAGGCACACCAGGGGCACAGCCAGGGGACTTGCGCGAGTCACTCTTAGCTTAAGCTTGTTTGTAAGGACGCACGCCACTCCCCTAAACTGCCCGTCAGCGTGGCTCATGGCATCCCGGTCTTGGAAAGCCACTTCGCTTCAGGACAGAAGGCAGACATTACAGTGTATCAAGAAGAAAAGGCTGCTGGGTATTACACCGCCTCCCTCTTCTGCCCACTCCTCAGGGGCAGAAAATTAGTCCTACTTACTATATTTGAGAGACTATTTTTAAAAAATTAATAAAAATGACAATTTCCCTGTCAAGATCACATGAACAGAAACAGTAAAGCAAAGTCCTTGGGGCAGGGGTGGGTGGGTGGATGCAGACAGGCTTCTAAGGTGCAGCTGGCCTCCTTGGGGTAGTGACAGATGTTTCTTAAGGATGGGCTGCTTGGCTCCCTATTCCCAGGTCCTCTTGCCCCCCAGTTCTTTCCTTTGTAGCTGTCCTTAGGCTTAATGTTAGGGTCACAATGTGGAACTGACAGAGTTTCTGAAGGTGACAGGACAGAGGGAGAGGAAAGGGATGAAAGTTAGTCTTCTTCATCCTCACTGATGTCGTAGGCCATGGCCTTGTGCCTAGAGAGACCAGCTGGGGAGGCGGGCGGGGACGTCTTGCCAGAGAAAGGCCAGCGGAAGGAGGGGGAGGGGGAGCGCTCCCGGGTCGGGCTGCTGCTGGGGCTCTGCTTGGGGCTGATGGCCTGCAGCATCCGGCCTTTTCCCTCTTTCAGCATGTGTTTCTGGGGAGACCAAAAGGAAGAGTTAGCAGACACCTACAGACCAGCTAAGTCACCGCTGGGACGCCTGAGACTTCCAAGAGTCTTCCCAGGTGCCCCCGTGATTTGTATTCTGTGTTGCTGGGGATGCGACCCAGGGCCTCAGGCTGCTAGGACAGAGCTTTACTACTGAGCTCTACTTGGCCCCAGTCCCAGGCTCTCGCATGTCCAGCCTACCTGAGTCTGCTAGAGGAGGGACAGCTATGATTCTCAGCGATTTCCTCTCAAAAACAGTCTATGCCAGGGAGGGCAAACCTTTTCGAGCATTCAATGATAGTAACAGCCCACTGTGGCTACCACTCCTACACTGTGCTGCTTGCTTCCCCACTTGCTCCCAGGTCCGCCAGGGTTCCCACCTGCCATCCAGTACCCCCTTGACTTCTATGTCAAAGGAATTCTTTGAAGGGTACTTAGTCTGCAATCCAGCTTCCAGGGAAAAAACAAGGGAACTAATTCAGAGGAATGGGGATCTAGCTCAGTTTTTTTTTTTTTTAAGAAAAGGTCTCCCTCTGTAGTGCAGGTCGGCCTTGAGCTCACTATGTAGCCCAGGCTAGCCTGAAACTCACAGTGATCCTCCTGCCTCAGCCTCCTGAGTGTAGGGATTACAGGGGTGCACCACCACACCTGGCTAACCCTGCTTTTGAGTTCTCTGGAGAGGCAATCCCACATTCTTCCTGAAAAAGTCAACTCCATATCCAAACACCCCATAGGCAGATCACTCCTGATCTGCCTGGGGCCCACTCCCCTGGAATCCCATGGCAGCTCTCTGCAGTGAAGGCAGCTTTTTTTACTGTTCTTTATTCTCTCCTCTCCTTCCATTATAACCATACTGTAGAAGTATGACACACACTAGCTTATCTTGTCACTGGGCTGTGTGAGGCTGGGAAAGAGCTGGCGAGATTACTTAGGAAATTGTATAATTTCTTTTTGGAAGGATTTAGAAACATTTGGGGGTAAGTGGAACAGTTCTCCCAGATACAGGGGAACAGATTAGGTGGCTTCTTAATGTCGATGTGCCTTTCTGCTTAAGGGCTCTGTGATTCTTTCCTCAGCACAGAGGTCCCCCGAGTTCCCCTGAAATTCCCTCACTTGTCCACTGGGAAAGAACCATACCAGTGCTCCTTCTGGACCGAACATTTCCAGGAAATTGCCAATGAACTCTCGGGACTTCTCTTCCCATTTCTGGATGAGGTCAATGCTTTTTTCCTCCACCTTCTGAACAAACTCTTTGGACTTTTCCTCCACATCTTTTACCTTCTTCTTTACTTTGTCAACCCGCTCCTGCAGGTGATATTTCTTCTCCTAGGTGAAGAGGTAACAGTTGTGAGAAATAATATCCACCTGACCTCTACCAAAAGAGAGGGGAAAAACCGTTACTGACGCTCTTTTCAGTGTTTATAATCTTGCTTTGCTTTAATCTCATTCACCACACTAATAGAAAAGACGAACTCTGCACAGACACCGTACACACAGGTGTGGAAATTCAGGCGAGGCCCAGTGACAGGCAGGCATGCAGCCAAACAGAGTCAAGTTTTAAGATAAAACCAACATGACCCAAACCTCTTTCTGGATGAAGACATTTAGGCAGCAAGAAGCCCAAGATTAGACCCATTATAACAGATTGGAAGTACAAGTACTAGGTCTTGTCTTTCTTATTAATTTTATTGGTACAATTTAGATATAAATAATGACCACATTCATCGCAGGGAATTTGTACCTGTCCATGGAAAGTACTAGATCTTTACTGGGTTTTTTTGCCTATTACTGGCTTGTTTTATGATTTTTAGATGAGTTAAGTATTTTATTGTTTAGTATTTGAAGGTTCATTTACTCATTTGCAAAATGAAGACACTCTCTGGTCCTACCAACTTTCCTAAACACAAGGGAAAATAAGACGAACTCTATGTGTGTGTGTGCGCGCGTGTGTGTGTGAGTTTGGGGGTGTTTAGTGAAATGAAAAGTACTATAATTTCCAGATCATAAGAAAGGGACAAGCTGGGCATGGTGGTGCATGCCTATAGTCCCTGTCTCAAAAAAAAAAAAGAAAGACCTACTCCACCCAGGGAATGTAAATGCTATGGACTACAAACACGTAGGCATAAATAAATAAATGTAAAAAAAAAGACGGGGAGAAGGTGGGGTATAATTCAGTGATAAAGTACACACTTAGTTGTACAAGGACCTAGGAGCAGGAGTGAACAGAAGGAAGAGGAGGAGGAGGAAGAGGAAGAAATGGAGAAGAGGAGGAAGGAGAGAAGAGGGGAGGAGAAAAGGAATAAGGAAATATATTTAGACTTTCAATTAAAAAAGTGTTTATTAGTCTGTGTTGGCAGTGCATAATGATTACACACACATCAGAACTCTTTTTCTCTCTCTTTCCCTCACCTCTCTCCATCCCGTGTCTCCTTTCCATCTGTGAAAGGTCTGTCTGTTTTTTTGTTTTTTTGTTTTTTTTGAGACAGGGTCTCACTATGTAGTTGAGACTGACCTAGAACTCACTATGGAGCCCAGGCAGTCTCGAACTCACAGCGATCCTCCTGCCTCAGCCTCCCGAGTGCTGGGATCACAGGCGTGAGCCACCACGCCCGGCTTTAAAGGTCTGTCTGTTTAAAGTTTTTAAACATCTCACTCTCATGGGAAAATAAGATTCTGTTGCAGATGGATTACTGACAGCTGGGTTTTTTTTTTAACGGAATTAAATCCTATTCAGATGAAACCATTCTACCTATTCTCACAGCATGATTCCCAGAGCTGGGGGCAATGTGGAGAGCGTGGTTAACTGGTTAAGGAGGAGATATAGTTAGTAGCTTTCTTCCCTTTTAAATCAACTTTGCTGAGGCATAACGTATAGATAAAATGTGCAATATAGGCTAAGCTAACCGGCAATATTAAGCTAAAATAAACATAAGTTTTTGTAAGTTAAAATGTAAAGTTTGGATCCATATGGAGAAATTGCATCAAAATGTATGTCATGAATCCACAGCTTTCATGAGATTAAAGAGCATTCCATCAAGAGAAGAGAAAAGAAAAAAAAAAAATCAAGAGCTATCATTTTAAATGTGTTGACATAAATAATGCATTTTTCTTTAATTTTGGTTTTTTGAGACAGGGTCTCACTATGTAGCCCAGGCTGGCCTCAAACTCACAGCAATCCTCCTACCTCAGCCTCCCAAGTGCTGGGATCACAGGCATGAGCCACCACGCCCACCTGATGATATACCATTATAGCACACATTCTTCTTCATGTAATCGGCTGCACGTCCTATATCAGTATGTTGACACCACAGCATTAAGGCAGAAGCTGCCTCTGTTTACTTATTTCCATCTCTGCTCAATTCTCTTTGTGAAGAGCTCAGCAAGATGCGAGCTACAGAGAGGACTGCACTGGCTTGGGGAGTGACAGTGACAGCAACTCAAAGGCAAGCTCAGCTCAGGGGAGGGGAGCCCAGCGGCCCTCCAGGAGGGAACTGTGGGGCAAGGGTGGAACTCACATTGATGAAGCTGACGTTGAGCTCCTTGGCTGTGTAGCCCCGCTGTAGGTTGCGTCTGGCGTACACGTCGTAGTCGCGGACAATGCGGGTGATGATGTCTGACGTGGAGATGCCTTCTGTCCTCTGAGTTGGCGCGAACATGCCTAGCTCCAGAACACACAGACACATACTGTGACGCTCTGCGTGTGCAGGTAGAGGACAGGGAAACGGGAGCAGCACGCCTTCCTATGCTAGAAAGGAGGCCCCGCCACGACTGCACCACGCCTCACAGCACCACCGACAGCGGGGTCAAAGGTGAGGCCAGAGCAAAGAAGATGAGGAGCGACAGAAACGTGGGGCTGAAGAAACCTTCTGAGATCAATACAGATATCAGAGTCAGGCATTCAGACCACGTATGGGCGGGTATCAGTGCTGTGTCCACCTTTGTCTTTCACCCAAAGTGTGAGCTGAAAGCAGTGTCAGATTTTTCAGTAGCATTTGCCTCTCCGAAGTAGCAGTGTGGCCACATCTCTGGGGCTGCCTAAGCTGCCTAAGCTGCTCACCTGCCTCCTTGATGTGCTTATAGACATCATCGCTCCCAGCGGAAGAGTAAGGGATGTCATCGTGGGCTACGAAATCAATCTGAGAACAAGGAAACATTGTTTAAAACCTAGGATAACCGCCATTCAGAAAGACCTCAGAAATGTTCTCAGGCCCACAAAAGGGTGAAGAAGAACAGACCTGGGCTTTTTTCTGCATCTCTCTTTGCTTTGCTGATAAATTCTAATGACCCATTCACAAGCCACCCACCGATTACTTATGGATGAGAAACAGGAAGTCAGACCTGCCTCACTGCATGGCTTCGTCCCATAAAACATCTTGGAGAAGTGGGGTGAGTGGGCAGCCCACTTTCCAGTCCCCGTCTGTCTCTCTTAGACAGAAGCTGTCTTTCTCTCAATAAATTTTTCCTACTTAAAAAAGACAGAGAGAGAGAGAGAGGGAGGGAGGGAGGGAGGGAGACAGAAAGAAAGTCAGCAGCTCTCTCTACGTGTTCTGGGTTTGCTGGGAGTGCTGCTGCCCCTCTGCACACCTGTGTCACGCTGTGGTAATGCGGCAGGCAGGAGGGTTTTCTGGTTAACTGGTCAGTGGGGCAAGCTAGGAAAGACGGAAATCTCCCTGTCCTCCCAGGTCCATGAGGATTGATCCACTGAGGGCTTCTCAAAGTATGAAAAAGGGCACTTCCGTGTTTACTGGCTTCTTTCTCAGTTCCTAAAGTGGGGAATATAAAAATATCAACCACAAGCCCCTTTCCTGGAAGAAATGTATCTGTGCTACTGAGAAACTCAGTATAAAAGCCACAGCTATAAAAGCCCTCTTAGGCCTCGGGATCTCAGGGTGCTGTCTGTATGCTTTGCAAACTCAGGAGGAGATTAATGGTAATGGGATCAATCATCTCTCTTTTTTTGGTATCAGGGATCGAACTGAGGACCCTGTGCTTGCCGGGCCGGGATGGTGCCACTGAAATAAGTCCCCAGCCCAATCAATCATCAGTTTGTGGTTGTTTTTTTTTTTTCTTGGTACTGGGGATCGAACTCGGGTCCTTGCGCTTGCAAGGCAGGCCACCAAACCGCTGAGCTAAATCCCCGGCCTTCAATCATCTTTTTGAGAGACACGCTAAACCTATGTACCCCCTCCTGAAGGGGTCATGGCCTCTCCAGTGGTCGGGTAATCGCATTACATCAGCAATGGACACGACCCCCAGAGGCCCTGTAGTGTGGAGCGTGTTCTGGGACTCTAGCTAACACCCCAAATACCCACGTGCACCATGTCAGGGTCCAAGGGCAGCACAGTGAAGCATGAGGTGAGTGAGCCGCACGGCTGAGATATACAACTAACCCTCAGGAAGGGGAAACTGGGAGTTCCTTTGCCTCGGACTTCTTGCCTGTGTGCACTGCTGAGAATAATCTTGCTCCTCACCCCGCGTGCCATGGCTGGCTGAGTGCTGATGTAGACGTGCTAGAGAACTATAAAGGGTCTGTCCTAATCCTACATAATTAAATACAAAGCTCCAGGCCTCCCAGGTACTGCTTCAGGAGCACTCTGGATACCTCTGTTCTTCTCATGCAACCTCACAGCCCCCGGGAGGTGACTGGCACTGTGCCTCTGGTAAGTCTGAGGGTCTTCCACCAGACTCTAGGAAACCTGTTATGTTAACGTGGGAGAACTCCAAAGGAGGCTAGGAGATTTATAACAAATCACTAGTGAGAAACCTCCTTGATTTCTGATCCCACACAATTTCTAGCCCCAAATCAAAGCCCTGAAATGAAATTTAAGGCAATAGAACAGACGTTACATGAATCCCTATTTCCCAGAATGTGAACTTGAGCCCATGGCGGGGCTACAGGTCTCCTAAAGAACTGGCGGGCTAAAGGGTCAGCGCATCTTTTAGCAAGTGTGGGGCAACAGCACATCACTGAAGCGATCACTGCAGATCTGTAACGGAGTAATCTGGAGCAAGCTCTTTGGTCTCTCTGGGCTTGGTCCTCCCGTGTAAAGTGGAAATAATAACCGTCCCTCAAGACTGCTGTGGGGAGCACATGGAGGCTAATGGCTGTGAAAGTGCTTGTAAACCATCAGGCCCCACAGATGTCAGGGATGACTAATACCGCGAATGACACCACTGCACGGGCCTCGGTGAAACTCACACAGATGCTAAGGGAAAAGTAGCCCAGGGCCAGTAGCTGTGAGCGGAGGGGCTCAGGAACACGGGATGGGCATGGATGGCTGCGTCCTTACCCGGTGCTCCGCCAGGAACTCGGGGGTCAGGGTCCAGGGCGCGTTCCTCACCACCTCGTCCACGTAGCGGCAGTGCTGGACGGCGTCATATCGCTCATTCTCGTTCATCACTGTGAAGCCTTTGAAGTTGTGTGTTAGCTCATCACTGCAGACTGCAGACACCACAAGAAAAGTTGTAAGTCAAGGTCCCCTTTGCTTAACATTCCTCAGCCTCCAACCTCTCCCTGTTTCTAGACAGGGCACGGCACGGACTAAGGTCTCTGACTTTGAAAGGAACCTGCTGTGCACTTGTGTGTGAATTAAGCTTTTTTAAATTTTTAAAAATTTTTAATTTTTTTGGTACCAGGGATCGAACTCTGGTCCTTGCACTTGCGAGGCAGGTGGGGGAACCACTGAGCTAAATCCCAGGCCCATCAAGTTTTTTAAAAAATGTCTTCCTATTTTGTAAAACTGAACCAGACAACAGCAGAACATCTGCTTAGCAGACTTTTGTGCTTAGTGTATTGAGAGTTCAATACCAGATGTCTTGGATCAGTGAGCTTGCAGCTCCACAGCCCAGGCTAGGTTGCAGTGCCTCACACATCACAAGGAGGCTGTGCCAACTCCGTCATTTAAAAATGGAAACAAGGCACACCTGTAATCCTAGCACCTGGGAGGCTGAGGCAGGAGGATCACTGTAAATTTGAGGGCAGGCTGGGCTACAAAGTCAGTTCAAGGCCAGCCTGCGTTGCACAGTGAGACCCTGCCTCAAAAAACCAAAACCAAAAGCAAAACAAACACATAAAAAATGGAAACAAGGGCCAGTGTACTTGGGTCACACCGACAGGAAGGAGAGAGAGACAGCCGGGATCTTCTTCCTGGCATTTCTTACCTCCCACAATGAGGTATGTATTAGGGAAGAGGTTCTTCGCTTGCATCAATGCCCGGGCATGGCCAGAGTGAAACAAGTCAAATATTCCGTCTGCATAGACTCGCACAGGCCGCTCATCTAATCCAAATGAGAGAAGGCATCACCACACGCACTGTTCACCACCTCCTACCTGACAAGACGAACTCGGCTCTGGTGACTGTTCCACCACTGCCCGCTCCTTTCTTCGGGGGTTCTCTGGGTAGTCACCCTAACTGGGGGAAGCTGGGGTCAGCTCACAGATCTCCTTGACTAAAAGACCCCAGACATCTTCTCCACTTACTCTTTGCAGCCATCTTGTATCAAATTTCTCAGGTACAAAAATAGTAAGAGAGCTTTTTCTTAAAAGCTACTTTAGAAGTGAAAATAGTTACTCGGTAGATATCATCCTGAACCTCAGCATTTCACGTCCGGTTTCTGATCCTTCAATTATGTGTGCACAGAGTGAAATCAAACTCTACTCCGGCTGCCTTTCTCTCATTTCTAAACTGCCTTACTTACTAACCAAAGTTTGAAAATGAATCTCCTGATTCTGCCCAGAGAACAGGGAGTGACCAGGGGAGTACGAGGGAGGCTGAGCATTTAGAGACTGGTTATCAATTTTCTGTCTCATTCCCAGAGTCACCTGCAATACCTGCTCTGTGCTAAGAGAATTCCTCGTGGCATTTCTCCTCGGTAATAACTATGATGCTACATTTTTTTTCAGTATAGGATGACATAGTAAATATCTGAAAATCAAATAAAAGTTCAGGCTGTCAATTTTTATTTTTGGAGATGGTGGCCTATGAATGAGAGGACAGGAGATTTATGTCTTAGAGCACAAGGCTACTTCCAAAGCCGAATAAGCACACTGAGAATGCGATGGACATAACCTGCATCATGCTTCAGATGCCAGGGGAAGGCGTGCGTGTATTTTCACTGTGTGCCTAAAGGAAAAGCTATTACATGTGCAGCAGACCACGGCAGCCGGAGCACTTCCATCGCTGTGGGAACGAAGGCTCAGAGCTCCCTCGGCTGGGCCACGCTGAGGGTGGGGAGAAGACCCCCGCACCCTGCCTTAAAGGCCATGGACCAAGGAGCAAGAAATGGCTCTCAGGAGATTTTAGACTCTTCAAATGTATCCATATCACTTGAAATTGCTGTATCATACACCGTTGATAAAACATCAGTAGCTTTTAAGAGGAGAAATTAGGTAATATTTAGCAGCAGACAAATGTTTATGCCCTTTGGTTCAGCTATTCCAAGTTGAGGAATTTACCTCATAGGCTATTTATGAATATGTGCGCTATTCACAGCAGCACTGTTTGTAAGAGCAAAGGTCTACAAACAGCCTCAATTTCTATGGAAAACTAACCTCACAAACCCACTTTAAGGTGGGAGGATATATAAATTAAATTTCTTAGCTACTGACAAGAAATTGGTACTTCTGGTAGCCTGGAAAAGGGACAGGGATGGATGGCGAGGAAAGACATTTCACTGCATGTCCTTGCTCTACTTTCCAAATGTTTAATCACAGAGGTGCCTGGATTTTATAGTACAGGAAATGAGGTTTTTTAAATTTATTTTTTATTTTTTGTTTTTTTTTGAGGCAGGGTCTCACTATGTAGTTGAGACTGACCTGGAACTCACTGTGTATCCCAGCTTGATCTTGAACTCACAGTGATCCTCCTGCCTCAGCCTCCCGAGTGCTGGGATTATAGGCGTGCACCACCACGCCTGGCTGGAAATGATTTTTTAAATACACATTAATACTTTAAAAAACAGAAATAATCTCTTTTGGTGCTGGGAATTGAAACAGAGCCTCAATCATGCTTTGTATTCATCTCCCACCCAGGCACAGCCAGTCCTACAATGGATTTAAGAGGCAGAAAGGTTGTAGCTCAGGCTTTCTGAACAGCTTCCTCCCTCTGCAACCTTAAGCTCTTTAAGCCTCAGTATTCTCACCTATGAGACAAAGCAAAATAAAACAAAACCTGAATAATGTAACCCTCTTCTCTATCCCAGAAATCATGAACTCACATTTCCATTTTCCCCAAGCAAGGGTAGAGGGGCTATGGTCTCATTTTATTTGATCCTAAAAGACGAAGGATAGGATATAGAATTAAGAATATTTGTTACTTTTCTTTCTTGCTATTAAGCAGAGCACAGGCTGGGAGAGCAAGATGGAGAAGTGAGGCTCAGGAACACTGCTAGACAGTGGCGAGAGCACAGGAAGCTGCTGCCAGTGCAGCTCATGCCCTGCTAGGTCAAGGGCATCACTGAGCCTTTTGCCGAACCAACCCTAGGTGTGTTCTGCTGCCCTCTTACATGTTTCCTCAGCCTCTGGGCATTTCAGTTGCCTCAGAAAACCCCAAATCCCAGTAAACCCAGCTGGAATATTCTCCACCTGGCCAGAAGGAGGCACTGTTGAACTAATCTAGGGTGATGCCATTCTTTTGGGTCCTTGGGCTTTCGAGGCAGGTGGTGGCACCACTGAGCTAAATCCCTGGTCCAGCATTTGCGATTCTTTCAACAGTGGCTATTGACCAGGAAACCATGGCCCCTGAGGGGCAACGGTGGTCTCAGCATATTAAGACCAATCCATGTCGCTCTTAAAACTGTCCTGACTGGGTTATAGATTAGGTGGATGCCCTAACACTACCTAAGTAACCGATGACTTCCTTTAGGCACAGCCAACCTGGGCTTTAATTGATTGTCTCTTTTGATCTATGTCCCAGATACAACGATTTGTCCTGCATAGATTTCCACTACCCTTCAGATTCTCTTCCTTTGAGTGAAATAAATTGCTTTTTTTTTCCCATCTTCCAAAGGATTCCCCAAACCAATCTCATGTCTTTTTTTCTTTCTTTTTTTTCTCCCCTGGGTCAAGAATTTTGTCCCCTACTATACAAACCTCTCTTCTGAGTCCACCAAACTTCCCTAGTGACAGCCTGGTAGGGAGCATGCCCATTCCTGCCCCCAGCAGTTACTGAATTAAAATTCACTATAGCTGGGAAGGGGTGAAGGGAGAGCAGGGATAAGGGGAAAAAATGAGAACCAAGACCTGTCATGTAAAGGTACAAGATCCCAATGATGAATGTAACTGTCCTGTATACCTACAATGTACTGATAAACTCAGAGAAAAAAAAAATCACGATAGCTGCATAGGTGTCCCCCACTGGCATGAATATAGTTAACTACTTGGTGATTTAATACGAACAGACAGAAGGAGAGGTAAGAGAAAAGCAAGAGGTCAAATTAGACTGGTAAACCTTATAAGTTAATTTGCAACTCTGTTCCACCTAAAATACAACTTTGCTAAGGGTCTTCTATTGTGTCTATGAAGAGCAGCTCCACTCTAGGGTAAAAAGAACTCAGGGATGAAAAGATCTAGCTTTTTGCTCCAGTTCTGTCACTAATTCTACCTTTTACTGTAGGGCAGTCTTCACTTAGGTTTCTATGGACCTTTTTTTTTTTTCATATATACAATAAAGAGACTACAAAGTAGATAATCTCGAAAATGAATCTCATACAGTTATCATATCCTAAAATTTTAAACATTTAGATTTATTAGTACTTATTAATTATAAGCTTCAAAAGTTGGAAACATTATGTATATCTTCCATTTTAGTGAGGGACTGAGCACAGGGACTCGCACCCGAGCCACACCCAGCCCACTACACATATTTCCATCTCTATGTACACAGGATGGGCATTGACCAATGTGACCAGACCCGAGAGAGGAACTGAATCCTGAACATGTGTCATTTGTGCGTAGGACCTTCTGGCCTCCAATGGGCTGTTATCACATCGAATGTGAACCCTGAAATGTCTGCCGGCATTCTGCAATCTCACCTGACCACCACACCGCTTTATATGCACAGCCTCTGCTCTTTCTCTTCACTCTGCTCTGCCCCCATTAGCCAGCCAATTACTCAAAGATCACCCTCCAGTCAGAAGAGCTACCAGCCACGCATGCTATTGCCAAACACTTCTGCAAAAGGAAAGTATTCCCAGGCCAGGGATTTTAACTCAGTTCCATCACTTGCCTTGCAAGTGCAGGGACCGGGGTTCGATCCCTGGTACCACCAAAAAAAAAAAAAAAAAAAAAAAAAAAAAAAAAAAAAAAAAAAAAAAAAAAAAAAGAAAGAAAGAAAGAAAGAAAGAAAGAAAAAAAAGGAAAGTATTCTCTCGGAACTAGCCTCTTTGCCTTTTTTCTTTTCTTTTTTGGTACTGGGGATTGACCTCAGGATCTTGTGCTGCTGAGGCACAGGCACAGTGCCATGAACTAAATCCCTGCCCCACGCCTCTTTTTCTGAGGACCCCCAAGCCATAATGCACATAGCCAAGACACAGGCGGAGGGGCTTGGGAATCCCTGGCCTGACACAGTCCAGCATCATTTTTATTTGCATTTTACTACTCCTTAGCCGTAACAGCTGCAACAAACATACTTAAGAAACAATCTAAAAGTAATCACAAATATATTGTATATGTATATTAGAAATGTATACATTTGTGGCTACAACAGCCTCTTATTCCCTAAGGTTTGCCCTGCTTTGCATTTACAGGGTAGAGAGACTATTTACCATAGTATTCAAAGAGCTGAAAAAGGATTGAAAAAGAGAGAATTGGCTAATTTACAGAAAAAAAAACCCAGCTGTCTAAAGGACTTTCATATTCATAAAAAGTGTTCATGGGAGTTTCTATTTTGGTGATCCTTAAGACCAACTACTCCAAATGGGAAGCGTATCCAGAATACATATTAATAATTTATGTGGTCAAAACTATTAATTAATAAGGACATACATTAAGCATACAAATTTTAAACTATGAGCACTGAAAATAAACCAAGTCTTTACAGTGAAGGTACAATGAAGTCATGCATGTCTTCCATCTGGGGACACTCTTGTGCTCTGCCAATCAGCATCATGGTGCCGAAGGGGGGCAATTCAGGTGGCTACAGAAACTTTCACAGATTGATTGATAAATTATTTGAATCTTCATAAAAGCAGACAAGATCATGAGGCTGCAGGTGTAGCTCAGAGGGTAGAATTGCTTGCCTAGCTTGTGTGAGGCCCTGAATTCAATGCCAACACCTCAAATAAATACCCGATGAGCCAGATCATAACCAGCTAGACTAGCGTCTTACTGTTTCTGCTCCACTATAGGTCACAGCTGTGATGACAGCGCAGGGAACCAGTGTATAATGATGAAGGGAAAAGCTTTCTAGAGTACAGTCCCCCTCCCAAACAGTACCAGGTCAAACACAACTAACTTTGATATGCCTTTCAGAGTAAGCTGACGAAGTAGAGAAAGAGCAGGCATATACCTGATAACTACAACGGAATGTAAAACTATAGTCAGACAACAAAATAATGCAGCGGGTATTTACTTACAAGGAGTTCCTCTGCTGGCTTCTTCCAGAGTTACCCTGACGTAGGGCTTACTAAAGTCCACTTCGATTTCATCAGAAAAAGGAGCTGGCTCCTGTAAGCCCTTAAGAAGAAAAAGGTGAAGGAATAAAAAGTTAAATTCAATGGTACACATGAAATATTAAAACATGGCAGCTTTAAAGGAAAATCAGTTATTCAACATCCTGTGACTAAAATTCCTCCTCAAATTTTATAACATGAAGAGGAAAGAAAAAAAAATACAGTACTCCAAGCCAGGTATGGGGGCTCATGCTAAAGCAGGACTGTGAGTTCAAGACCAACCTGGGCAATACAGTGATCTCAAGGCTGGAGTACAGCCCAATGTAAAGGTCCTGGGTTCAACCCCTGGTCACACATACACACACACACACACATCATTTCAAAATGATAAGTGAAAGGTGTAACCTTTTTCAAAATGAGTAAACCATGGCATAGAAAAATACATGTTTTAGCTAGGTATGGTGGCACCTGCCTACACCCCCAGAAGATGGGGAAGATGAAGCAGAAGAATTCCAAGTGAGCCCAGCATGGGCAACTTAGCGAGAGACCCTATCTCAAAGTAGATGGGGCTGGGGATGTGGCTCAGTGTGAAGACCCTGAGTTCAATGGGGAGGGGGGCCTGAAAGACAAGGAAATAGATTAATCATGCTTCCTCATTAGACACGTGTGACCACAAGGAGATGAGAAAACAGAGAGGCGCCTAGACAAGATGGAGGAATCAACTGGAAGTTTTTTACAGTTGAGATCTGAGCATGTCCAAAAGGTGGAGGAAAAGAAGCCAAAGTGATTGAAAATCCTAGAGAAGGAAAAATAGGTAACTCAGAAGCAAGAGTCCAGATAAAAGGTAGGGAATGGACTCGAGAGAAGGTGGGGTACTGTTTGTCCAAGAAACAAGGATTCCAGTTTTGTAAAAGCAGAAGAAAGGAAAGGTAATAAAGGGATAAAGTTGGATAAAGAGGAGGGAAGAGGTCGAAACTCGGATCTGAGGCCCTCATCTTTCATAGCACTGTTTTAGTGGGGTGTGAATTTCAGTTTAGGGAGGTTGGTACGAGAATAAAATCTTAAAGAAAGTCATAAAGATAAATCTCCTAGGGTGTGAGCAAATGATCAATGTAACTACTGGACACTACATCTGGTCTAGATCAAGCGAGAAACTGTAGAAGAGCCAGAAAAATGAACGGAAACAGCAAAGCATTTAGGGTTAGGGCCTGGTGAATGGAAGAAGGAGGCAGAGATGCAGACATTTCCCCAGAGAAGATCTACAAATGGCCAGCAAGGGCCTAACAGGGTGCCCAACACGAGTCACCAGGGAACCATCAGCTGGCGTTTCCCACCCACAAGGTTGGCTGTACAGAAGCGAGCAAAAGACCTGGCAAGATGTGAGAAGTTGGACCCTTCATATGTTGCTATGACAAATGTAAGATGGTGCACGGTGTTGGAAAGCAGGTCCTTGGGATGTTTAACCCAGGACTGCTGTATGACCCAGAAACTGTACCCTAGGTATACACCCAAGAAAACCGAAAATGTGTATTTTGTGGAAAGCAACTTATGCACGGAAAGTATTCATAGCAGCATTATTCACAAGAGACAAAAAGTGGCAACAACCCAGACGTCTTCAGCTACTGAACGGATAAACAAAATGCTATGCCCACACGTGGGACATCATTCCCCTCAGAAAAGGCAGAAAGTACTGGCACAAGCTATCACCCAGACCTTTAAGAAGGACCTTAAAAAAAAAAGCATAAAATAAAGCCTGGGGTGTGACTCAGTGATAGAGTACTTGTCTGACATGCATGAGCCCCTAGGTTCAATCCCCAGTAGCACAAATAAAAGAAAACGAGAGAAAAAGTGCTAACCAAAAGCAGCCAGACCAGAGGCACAAAAGGTCCCCACAGCTACACTTCCATTCTGAGACATTCAGGGAAGGCAGATCCAGGGAGAGTGGAAACAAGTGGCTGCCAGGTGGTGGCATGGGGCGTAACAGTGCAATACTGGGGATTGTTTTTTAAGGCAATGAAATGTTTTAAAGTTAGATAATCATGCTGGTTGAAAGGCAGTGTCTAGAAACCACTGGATTATATACTTCAAAAACAGTAAAATGACCAGATGTGGTAGCACACACTTGTAATCCCAACACTGGGAGACTGAGGCAGGAGGATTTCTTCAAGTTCAAGTCCAGCCTGGCCTACATACAGAGTTCAGGGCCAACTACATATTGAGATCCTATTTTTCAAAATTTAAAAAGCCCACAAAATAGTTAAAATGGTGAAATTTTATCTCAATTTAAAAAGCTGTTTTAAGGCGGGCATGGTGGTGCATGCCTGTAATCCCAGCACTTGGGAGGCTGAGGCAGGAGGATCACTGTGAGTTCGAGACCTCCTGGGCTACAAAGTGAGTTCCAGGTCAGTTTCAACTACATAGTGAGACCCTGTCTCAAAAAAAATAAATAAATAAAATAAAAGCTGTTTTAAGCATCCTGTTTTATGGTCTAAAAACAGAAGACAAAGTCAGGGATAGTACCCCATTCCTATAATCCCAGCAATTAGGGAGGCTGAGGCATGAAGATTTCAAATTCAAGCCTAGCCTGAACAACTTTGTGAGACCCTGTCTCATAATAAAAATAAAAAAGATGCTGGGGGGTATAACTAAGTAGATGAATACCTACTTGGTTGGATCTCTGGGACTGTAAATAATAATAATAATGATAATTTTTTAAATAAAAACTTTTAAATATTAAAAACTAAAAAATAAAATTAAAATGAAGATAATTTCCTGCCCCACAAATTTACTATGAAAATTATACAAAATAATATTTGCAAAGTAACTAGCACAATATAAGCAGGCAGTCAAATTTAACATAGATTTCAGCACATTAACAAAATTAGCTCAATTGTATTCATATAAGAAGTTATCTTCTAAATACTACATAAAATTTCAAAATCTATGTACCTACAAATTTTAACTAGCTGCAGGGGCAGCGGGGGGAACACACACCTGTAACCCCAGCACCTGGGAAGCTGAGGCAGGAGGATCACCGCGAGTCTGAGGCCAGCCTGGGCTACATAGTGAGTTCAAAGCCAGCCTGAACTACATACATAGCAAGACTCTGTGTCAAAAAACAAAAGTAGAGCCAGGGATTTAACTCAGAGGCAATGTACCTGCCTTGCAGGAGCAAGGTCCTGGACTTTATCCCCAATACCAAAAAAAACAAAAAAACAAAAAACAAAAGCAAAACCAAAACTTTATAAACTAATAATAATAATCAGCTTTACTCAAATTATGAGCACTCTGGTATACTACTTCTGTAACAATTTTTCTCACGTTTGTACACATTAAGTCATCATTTCTAAATCCAAGAAAAGAAAAGGGTTTCCATTATTCATATTAACAGTTATGCAAACACAAGTAACGTGAACCTAGAGCTGGATACTTTCTACTACTCTTTCCGTTCTCCAAGGATTCTTGAATATTTTTTAGCGAAAAGTTTCTAAGGGTCACAAAGAGACACTCCCTTTCACCCAAACATTCTGCACAAGCAGTAACAGGTCCTCCTCCTCCTCCAGTCCAAATTCCTTCAGTGATAACAGGAAAAAAGCTACAGAGTCAAGAGGAGTACTGCAAACTGTGGTATCAGAAAGAGGGGATGAGGACAGCAGAAAATTCCATTCCTTTTGAGTGTCTGTTTTTAAAAAATAGCCAGGCACATGGAATACACCTGGAATCCCAGCTCTCTGGGGGGCTGAGGCAGGAGGGTCAAAGTTTGAACATAGCCTGAATAACTCAGCAAGCCCCTGCCTCAAAATAATAAATAAAAAGGGCTGTGGAAATGGCTCAATATGATGGTGCTGGGCTTGATCCCCAGTACTACCAAAAAAAGCTAAAGAAAAACAATAATTCTCCAACTGCTATCGCCATTTCAGTAAGTATAAACAGGGCTGGGGATTCAGCTCAGTGCCATGCCTGCCTCACAAGTGCAAGATCCTGAGTTCAATCCTGGGACTGGAAAAAAAAAATGTATATGTGTATGTGCATATATATATATATATATATATATACATACATACATACATACATACAATTAGCGTATCCATACAAGTACTATACTGGTGTTGCATAAGCCTTTTAAAGTGACCTTGCTCTAAATTAAGCTTTCTCCTCCTATTTCTTCCTCCTCTGTTCTATTTCAGTGAGAAGCATCCTGCACACCTCAGGCTGACACTTAGGAGACACGTGTGACACTTAGGGTGTCCATCCCAATAATCACCAAGAATTGTCCAGTTTACCTCTTAGAGCCTCTACGATTTCTATCACAGTTGAAGTCCCCATTATCTCCAACCTGGGTCATGACATCAACAAGTCTCTCTGGCTCTTGACTGTCCTGTTTATCCAATTGTTCTGAAGCAATCAGGGCGATTGCTAAATTGCAAACTGGACCCATCACCTATAGGACAAGCTCAAACTCCTAAGCACAACACACAAGATTCTTCCCCACTGGGCCATTTTCCTCATCTATAGATCCTTATTCTGAACTCGAAGGCCAACCAATATTGTTTTTTGTTGATCTTTTTTTGGTACCAGGAATCGAACTCAGGACCTTGTGCTCGCCAGGCAGTTGCGGGACTACTGACCCAGCCCCAGCAATATTATTTGTCATCTGTGGAACATAATACTATTTCACACTTCTGAACTTGTACTCCATCTTTTGGGTCCACTTTTTGACTTATTTATCCTTCAAAGTTCAGCTCAAAGATAATCTCTATGAAGCTGTTCCAAAATCACTCTCACCAGCCAGGTGTGGTGGTACACGCCTCTTATCTCAGTCCTCGGGAGGCTGAGGCAGGAGGGTTGCCACAAGTTCAAGGCCAGCCTCAGACAGGTAGTGAGTTCAAAGCCAGCCTGCACTACAAAGTGAGACCTTGACTTAAAGCAAAAATAAACAAAAGCCGACTGCCTCCATCCCCTGGTCCAAGTCAATCTCTTGTTTCTCTAGATAGCCATGGTACTTTTAATTCCCTTTTATTTGGCACTTTTCACACAACACATTATTTGTAGCTGTCTTTTCCCCATATTTGTCCATGAGCTTGAAAGCAAGGCCATTTTTTCATCTTTACAACTCCAACACATGTTGGCTGAATTTCTCAGCTGGGACCCCACTTAGCCATCATCAGAACTGTGGACAGTTTTCCTCACAGTTCGGGCACTTTGTGACTTGTTTACACAAATGTAAATGTTAAAATAGACTAAATGTCTTACTTTTTGTAAATATTTTTACGACACTTTGCAGCATGGAGATCAAACCTAGAGCCCAGAGCATGATAGGCAAGCGCTGTGTCATGGAACCCCATCCCCAGGCTTTGGGCCCTCCCGATTGTGCCTTTAAACAGTTATCAGTATCCTCTTTCCGTACACTTAAGAGACAAATGACATGAAGCTCTTACTTTTCTGCTTGCTCAATTCTTTTCTCTCTCTTCTGTCCATTTCAGCCTGATCCGCCACCCCTGCTACCTGCCCCACGGCATGGAAAGCGCTCTTCTGAAGGGCCTCGCTCATCTTTACAGCCCAGCACCTCCTGCCATGCTGGCACATGACAAGTGTACAATAGAACCTTGTTGACTCTGCCCAACAGCAGCTTACAAATGAAGTCATAAAATGGAGTGTGAGATGTACGAAGGGTACTATTTGGCAATGAAAAGAAATGCCGCAGTGATACATGCTATACCACAGATGAATCTTGAAAACATGCTGCGTGAAAGCAGCCAGCCACAAAAGCCCACACACTGTGTGGTATGATTTGTACACAGATATGGGAAGGTGGGTGCTTTCAGGAAGCTGGGGAGGTAGAGGGGAAACAGATAGTGATTGCTCACAGGTACAGGGCTTCCTTTGGGGTGATAAAAGTTCTCTAAAATCAGTTATGGCCAGGAGTGGTGGTGCACGCCTGTGATCTTAGCACTCGGAAGGCCGAGGCAGGAGGACTGCTATGGGTTTGAGACCAGCCTGGGCTACACAGTGAGTTTAAGTCCAGCTTGAACCATATAGTGAGACCCTGTCTCTGAAGATAATAAATAAATAAATAAATAAAATTATTTAGGGTGATGGCTCTGCAAATCTGTGAACATGGGGGCCGGGGAAGTAGCTCAGTCTTGCCACATCTGCCTGGCAAGCGTGAGGTCCTGAGTTCGATCCCCAGTAGCAGAAAAAACCAAAAAACCAAATCTGTTAACATTCTAAAATCCACTAAGTTCCTGGGTTGCTAAGGTAGATAATACAATATGTCAATTATACTTCAACAAAGCTATTAGAAAAGAAGTAAAGTATCTTGTTTACTTTTGCTACCCAGTTTAAAAAGATTCAGAGATAGAAAGTACAGGTGTATAGTGGAGATGGCAGATGAGTTTATTTAGGAGGTCCTCGGTCCAGCCTGTTGAGTGAGTGAGTTTTTTACCATTAGCTCCTGCTAAAAAGCCAGTGTATACCAGGGAGGAATGTGGATGAGGTAGCAAGGTCTGGACCTCATTTCACATGAATACATGAAGCAAAATAACTTAATCTCTGATATCCACTGTGCTGTTCCTGGGTATAATGACTGGCTGGGATACCCCTTGGTTACATCTTGTCTTTACTCGAAATGATTTTGCTCAATTAGTGTCCATCACCAGCTCTTCAATCTGAATTCTTCAGAAGACTTTCAGAAGTCAACCCTGTCCTGTTGACTGCTAGGCCGTTCTCCGAGTTCGCTTGCTGTGGGGTACAGAATGATGGCCCCAAAAGATGTCTGCACCCTGTTCCTGGGAACCTGAGTGTACATGGCCTTCCAAGGCGAGAGGGGCTCTCGCAGATGTGGCCAGATTAAGGCTTCCAAGGCAGGAGGACTCTGCCAGGTGACCTGGGTGTGCCCAGTGTAATCATAAGCGGCCTAGTAAGTAATGAGAGGAGGTGGAACAGTCAACATCAGAAAACAGCCAGAATGGTGCATCTGCCATGGACACCATGCGCTGGGCACTGTGGACAGTTTCTAGAAGCTGGAAAAGACCAGGAACTAGATTCTCCCTTAGGACCTCCAGCCCAGTCAACATGTTTGATTTTAGTTCTCTGAGCCCCACTTCTGACTTCTGACCTCCACAACTATAAGAGAATACATTTGTGCTATCTGCAGTCATTTGTTACAGCAGCAATGGGAAATGAATACACTCATCTTTATCACCATCATCACTGTTGCACCTGAAGGTAGATGCCTTCTGTCTGTGGAGCTGCTGTTACTGCTCAGGATAAAATACTAATATGAAACAATTCTGTTTGAGATGGGGTTTCACTGTGTATCCAAGCTGGCCTTGAACTCACTATGTAGCCCAGGCTGGCTTTGAACTGGTGGTGATCCCTTCTACCTCAGCCTTCCAAGTACTGGGATTACAGGCATCCACCACCATGCCTGGCTGGTTTTGGTTTTTGAGATAGGGTCTCACTACATAGTTCAGGCTGGCCTTGAACTCTTGACATCCTCCTGACTCAGCTTCCTGAGTGCTGGGATTACAGGTCTGCCCCGCCATATTCAGTTTGATATGTTTATTAGAGAAAGCTTTAAAAGAGGGATCAATGTGAGACAGGCTAGGCAGTTTGGAATGAGGTCTTTTATCTAAGGCTTGGCAGTAGTTAGGAAGTATAAGAATACTGTTGCAGAGATAAAGGTGCATAAAGTATTGGGAAGGGTTCCCGTCTATGATACAGCCAGTAATAGAAGGGAGAAATAATATGCTGAGAAAAGGCAGTGAGACAAAACCCAGATACCGTGAGACGGTAAGAAGAGCAATCACTGCCTTAGGCCCCATTTCTGTTGCTTTTTAGTATGAATTTAGTTGCTCTGCCCACAGCTTCCAAATTTTCCTAATATTCTTTTTCTCATTCCAGTGTTGAGCTCCTATACCTGGGCTGGAGCGATAACCTGGTAAAAAGATGGTCTTTCCCAAAACTTTAAAACACACTCACTCTTCACACTTACTATTCATTTTCTCCACCTTTTTTGTTTGTTTGTTTTGGGTACCAGGGATCAGACTGAGGACCTTGTGATTACAAGGCAGGCCCAGTGCCTCTGAGCTAAATCCCTGCCCACACCCCCTTTATTAGACAGGGTCTCGCTTTGTAGTTCAAGCTGGCCCTGAACTCACTGTGTAGCAGGCTGGCTTCAAAGTGGTAATTCTCCTGCTTCAGCCTCCTGGTGCTGGGAGTACAGATGTGCGCCCCCACACCTGGCATCTGCCCACTATTTAAGAAGACTGGTAACACCTGTTACACCCGTTTCTCCCCTCCCTTCCCAGGTTAAGGCTGCGAGAAGAAATCCCATCTCTCCTCACCACTGCGCAGCGCTGTACTTTGGAGGGAATTCCGTCTTCCTCTGTCGCCCCATTCGGTCCCAGGGCCTCTTTCCTCCTCTTCCTTGAGTTGACTCTGGCTGAGCTCTGTGCATCCATCTTCTCTTAACTGCTTAGAGAAAGTGGGGTTTTCGAGACATGAGTACATTCAGCAAAACCTCAATTCCACAGCTCACATTTCACTGAGATGAGCCAATGGCATGTGGCAACAACAAAGCCTCCCGAAACACAGGGTCTTGCAGCAACACTGAAATGCCTCTGTGCGGAACAGAGGCCACCATTAACCACCGATCTCAGAAGTTTTTCCTCCTAATGCTGCAGCTGACACAATGCTGCTTTCATACCTTGACCATATGCAAAAGATCAAAATAAGCTGGTTGAGAAAACAGCTACTACTAGGTTGAGGATCCTTATCTGAAATACTTGGAACCAGAAGTGTCCGATTTGGGTCTTCTGGATTTTGGAATATTTGCAACTTTACCAGTTGAGCATCCTCAGGAAAATTTGAAATCCAAATTGCTCTGGAATCTGAAGCTTCCTGGGGTTAGGGATGTTCCACCTGACAGGCTTTACCACTGCCCTCGGGTGCAAGGCAATGCAGAAGATACGACTAGAACAGAGGATGGTTTTATAACCAGATGGCTTTTACCAAAATCTGGTCTAACAAAAGCAGGATTTCTTAACTCTGAATGTCCTCCAGATTTCAAAGACCACTTCACCACAGTTAACTATACAGGGAAACTGTTGACTGGCATAGTGCATCTTGTAAATAACTTGCCCTTCCTTCTTCAATACCTATCTCTCCCCACCTCCTCTTTCATAGTCTTGGCACCTCAAGCTTGTCTAGAGTTCTCAGCTTTTAAAACCTCCACCTAGGCTTCTCTTTCCCTCAAGAAAAACTCATTTCTACTATCTCACTTAGCAGACAGCTTCTAGCAATTAGCTTTCAAAGGAAAGTTGGGAACATCTGATCTGGTTTAGATGCTGTGCTACCTCTCCAACCCCTGCAGGAATATTTGGGTTTTTTTTTTAGGTAATAAAATTTGCACAGGTTTTTGTTTTTTGTTGTGCCACCACACCCAGCTTAATTTCTTGACAATGAAGGACTATTAGGCATCAGCCAGAAATTGAGAATAGAAGAAGCTCCAGGAGTAACTATAATCTCTGCCTAAAATAATGGTGCAGTGAACAATCCTCAAAGCAAAAGTGGGAAACAAATGCTGGACAGAAAGAAAGCTTTCCACACAGCCTCACTGCCTCGAAGCCCTCTTGAAGGAGACAATCTTCTATACAACTGCACTGTGCTCCACTTTCTTTCCTCCAGTTAAAGACAATGTGGCAAAAGGACAAAATATATGAGAAACCTGACCTGAATCTTGGAGACACCCCATGAGTCATGGCTAAGTATTAGGCTGACATTAAAAAAAAAAAAAAATCCAGTCTAAAGTGAAACATGGACACCACCCAGAAACTTCTTTTCATTCCAAAGGTGAATGAATACAGAAGACAGAAGACATTTAACATTCAGTTCCCCCAGTGGTGAGGATCACAGCTTTTCTTCACTACTGTTATTATTCTTGCAAAACATCCAGAGGCCAGGCCTTGAGGTCACTGGTCTGAGAGGCCAACTAAGTGTCTAATGGGTCTCACTAGTGACCAGCTCTGGTCTGTGTATTCATGGGGCTCTGCTGTATGTAAGTAGCTGCTCGATTCTTCTCAGGACAAGAGGACAAAACCCACTGTGAGAAAAGTACAACTTGGCATCAAGCATATCAGTCCTATCAGGCAGCCAGTAGCACGAGCACTCACTGTGCAGTGACTATCTCATCATTTTAAAGTACAAACTGAACCCGGAGGACCTCACCCAGGTGAAACAAGCCTCACACAGAGAGACAAATACTGCATGATCTCACTCCCACGTGAAATCTATAAAAGTGACCATAATAAATAATGCACTGTAGGACCAGGGATTTAGCTCAGTGGTGCTGTACCTGCCTTGAAAGCACAAGGTCCTGAGTTTGATCCTGGAGCCCCCACCCCCACCAAATGCACTGTATATTTCAAAATTGCTGATAAAGTATATTTTAAATACTTCTACCACCAAAAAAGTATGAGGTGACAGATTTGTTAATTTATTGGATTTAATCATTCCACAATTCAAACATATATTAAAACATACACAGTGTAATTCATAAATGTATACAATTATTTGCCAATTTAAAATAAAATAAAATCCAAGTGAAAACTATTTTTTCAGAGAGCTTATAATCAAGGTGAGGAACTACATGTAGAGCCCCACCTTAAAAATGTTTCTTATAAAATTACTCTTTAGATTTCCAAACCCTTCGGTGAAAGCTTGTAGTGGAACAAGATATTTACACAGTCTCAAAGTACCCAAAGATTACTTATTAATTACAAGGAGAAAAGAGTTAGCTTGTTAGGAGGGGAAAAAAATCTTAGAAAATGTCTTAGTCACTTTCTAATCACTGAAACACTGTACCTGACACCTGCAACTTAAAGGCAGAGAGGTTATTTTGGCTCACAGTTTGGTTGCTCCAGGGCAGGATGGCATGGCATAAGGGAATGGTGGAGAAAAACTGTATACCTCATGGCAGCCAGGAAGCAGCCAGATAAGGGAGGAGCTGGAAATGGAGATAACTCCTGCCAGGCTGTGCCTCCAGTGACCAGACCACACCTCCTAACAGCAAGTCGGCTATAAGCCCCCATAGTCCAATCAGCCCAGAAGCCCATGTATGGAGCACATGAAGCTGGGGGCGGGGACTAGATTTAAATCCGAACAGCAAAATCACCAATAACGCCCCCTGAGGTGCGGCACTGAGGATATATTACCTGCCAAAAATGTGTAACTGCACCGATTTGCAAAGAAAAAAGCAAACAAACCCCAATTACAGGTGCCTGTAGGCTCCAAAAAGTCAGTCATGAAAAACAGTGAAAGGCTGAGAGACTGTTCCGGGTCACAAGACAGTAAAGGGATGGTAATTTATGTAATATTTAATTCTGGTTTGGGGAGAAATTATAATAAATGTTATTAGGACACCAGCAAAAGTTGAATATGGGCTGTGTATCCGATCGTAACATGCATTACTGTTAAACTTCCTGAATTTGATAGCTACACCATTATGCAAAGACTGACCTTATTTTTAGGAGATACATACTGAATTTAAGTATCTTGGGATACAGGGTCATAAGCTATATATACTTTACCCTAGGTGAAAGAGGGAAGGAGGAGAGAGATGAAGAAAACATTACATATAAAAGAAGGTAAAGCAAGCGAGGAACTGTATTATGCTCAGAAGTAGCTCACTTGCCAATTGTGCATGAGGCCCTGTGCTCAGCACTGGAAAGAAAAGAGAAAAAGAAAAGGCAAATATGGCAAAATGTTACCAGTATATTAATCTAGGGGAAGCAAAAGGGATATATTCTTGCAACTTTTCTACAGGCTTTTCCTTTTTTATTCAAAATAGTTTAATTTTGAACTACTCTGAAATAATTTCCTGAACAGACAGGCCCTTCATATGAGATTCTTTCGGGGTCCTCAGAATCTGACTCAGTCTCCTTAATTCTTTGAATCAGTGTACACACTACATATGTTCCAAGAAGTAAGATGATTAATAGCAAGAGTTATAATACTATAATTCTTTCTTTTCTTTTGTTTTTTGAGACAGTCTTGCTGTATAGTTCAGGCTGACTTGAACTATGTAGCCCAGGCTAGCCTTGAACTCATGGCAATCCTCCTGCCTCAGTCTGGGATTACAGGCATGTGCCACGACACCAGGCAATGCCATCTCTCTCTCTCTCTTTTTAAATATTTACGGTATGCTGAGGTCTGCGCTATTCCTTTTATATACATGACCTTTTTTTTTTTTTTTTTTTTTTTTTTACATGAGCTATCTATTCATTTATTTATTTTTTCGTGGTACCAGGGATCAAACTCGGGCCCTTGCGCTTGCGAGGCAGGTGGCAGAACCACTGAGCCAAATCCCCGGCCCTATACATGACCTTCTTAACCCTTCTAATCTGAGAAGATATCATTAATACAATTTATAAACAAGAAAAATAAGAATCAGAGGGTTAAGCAACCTCCCCAAGAGATCATAAAGCTCTTGAGAAAGCCAGGCTTTAAATTCAGCCTTAATTCTAAAGTACTCACCACTACTATTCTTTCTTTTTTTTTTTCAATATTACTGTTCTTTGCTGTCTCTCAGAGGCCCAAGATTTCTAAAAAGGGGCTCTCATCATTACTGCCGCTTCCTTCTATCAAGAGCATTCTTTCCAGAGCAGGAGGTTTTTGCAGGTTTAGGCCAGGCCTAACTAAATAGTGGAACAAAAGTTCATGGCTATTAAAAGTGAAAACATCCAACAGCCAACCAGGAAAAAACAAAAACAAAACCCATGGATGTGGCCACTGACCTGATTCAGAGACTACCAACCAGGCAGCTCTACAGGTCTGCCTCCTGGGCAGTTTTGTTAAGATTTCCTGATAGACTTTCAACTTGAGCAATAAAGACTTCTTTTAACTATGCTCCTCCCTCTTCTACATTACAAATAGGTTATATTTTAAAGGCACCTATAGGTTTTCATTCATAAAAGAGTTTTAAGAATGCTATAATAAATCAAGGGGCAAATTTTTTCCTCCCCTCCCCACTGGGGATTGAATCAAGAGCCTTCACACTGAACTATATCTACAGCCTTTAAAAATTTTTTATTTTTGAGACGGATCTCACTAAGTTGTTGAAGTGCCCAGGCTGGGCTGTTATAATCCTCCTGCCTCAGCCTCTCAGAATGCTGGGATTATAAGCATGTACCACCACACTTAGTTTGATAAATATCATATTTTAACCAATTATTTCCCATAACTTCAAATTAAAATCCCTCGTGTGAGCCAGGCATGGTAGCTCATGTCTGTAATTCCAGAACTTGGAGGGCTGAAGAAGGCAGACTGCCTCAAGTTTGAGGCCAGCTTGGGCTACACAGTGAGTCAAGGCCAGCCTGGAATACACAGACAGACCCTGTCTCAAAAGCCAAACAAACAAAACAAAACAATCCCTCACCCTAAACAGAAACATACTTATACCCAATGACACATTT